TGGGGACCGCTGCTATAGATCATAGGTTTAAAACTACAGAGTGTGGGCAGAATCTGGCCACTGCCTGTCTTTATATATTAAATTTTATTGGAAGACAGTGGTGCCCATTCATTTCCCATTGTCTCTGGCTGTTTTGTGCTACAGGGGCTGAGTTGGGTAGTTCCGACAGAGACCAAATGGCGAACCAAGTCTAAAATATTTACTATCTGCTCCTTTATGGGAAAAAGTTTGCCAACTCCCCATTTAGACTATAAACTGCTTGCTTGAGGCCTAAAGCTCCAATTCTTTTCTTTTTTTTTAGGTGGGGTGGGTTGGGTAGGGAGTGGTTCCTGTTATATTACTAATAAATGGTCTGGTAAGAATTGATGTGTTTGCTAAATTAGGTTGACACCAAGTTAAGAAATTAACCTGTAGTTCTGCATCTTGTACTGCAAGACCCTTGACTTAGATGGTAAAGAATCTGCTTGCCATGCAGGAGACCTGGGTTCAATTACTGGATAAGAAAATTCCCAGGAGGAGGAAATGGCAACTGACTCCAGTATTCTTACCTGGAGAATCCCATGGACAGAGGAGCTTTGGCGGGCTACAGTCCCTGAGATCGCAAATGGTCAGACATGATTGAATGACTAACACACTTTTGCACCTAGTAATTGATGGAGTCAAATTCAAAACAGCTCATCTGATACAGAAATATGTGCTCATTTCACAGCATCCTGTTGCCTTTTAATCATCTGGAGTCATCAATGCATGAGTAAAAAATGATGACGCCCTGAAGTCAGGGCCATAAGCAAGATCTCCTCTGGATAAACTTTATTCTCACACTTGCCTAAAGACAGTTGTATCTTAAGTCATCAAGAGTAAGGTAGACAATGAGATTAATAAGATACAATGAAAATAATAATGACCAAGTACTTTTGCTTGTGAGTTATCCTTTTTTTCTCTAATCACACTGTTTATCTATGTACCTGTCTATCAATCTATCTATGTTCTCAGGTGCTTACTTGTACCCCATTCTTTGGGACCCCATAGACTGTAGCCTGCCAGGCTTCTCTGTCCATGAGGTTTTCCAGGGAAGAGTGCTGGAGTGGGTTGCCATTTTCTACTCCTCTATCTATCTATCTACCTAAGTAGTTCAGGGAATAAGTTTGCAGCTGAATATGAAGAATAATGGAATACACAACACGTGTGTGTGTGTGTGAGTGTGGGTTTGTGAGTGTGTGTGTAAAAAAGAGCAAGACTGAGAATGGTGACAGTCATTGGAAAGTGTGTGAGAGGTTGGCTTTGGTCAAATGCTAATAAAATGCATCATATATTTATTGGGCACAGCCACTTAAGTGGTGGTGAACATGATGTGAGCAAGTTAATTGCCCAACACAGTTACCAAAAGGATCTTCTCACTATGGGTGCTGTGTTTGAGAAGTTTCTTGAAAACGGAAAGAGATTCTATTTGTTTCTTCCTGTAAAAGGTTTTTTTTTTTTTTTTTTCTCACCAGAAAACTTAGAGATTGTCCATAAATCAAATAGAAAGGCAGCAAGAAGCAGAATGAGAGATTCTGCTGCCCCTCTGGGTTCTTACATTTTTACTCTATAAATATAGGAAAAGATTAGTTCTCTTCCTTTGAATCATTCTTCTTAACTGAAGGAAACAATATCTCAGTGCTACCTCAAAAACTGATTAATTTTGCATAATCTGGACAGATAAAATCTCCTTCAGTGCTGAGGGGCATGAAAAGAGTTTAGTGCAATGTCCTTGCCATACAATTAGGTATTGATACCAATCTTCTAACTGCCTTTGAAGTGGAATTGAAGAGCTTTATAATAAAGATAATAAAGCTATGAAATGTAGACTCTGTATTGGCTGAAATTAGATAATTAGCTTAGGATTTCTTCAATTACATATTTAGGAGCAGGAGAAAAATGAGGACCTGATGCCTAGCAACACAAGCTAATAATGTAATCTATACAAATTGAGGAGTCTACACGGATACTCAAGAAATACTAAACACTGCAGTGTGAAGATGGAGTCTGGATTAACGGAGGAAGAGTGGTTATGAAGCACACACACATAGCCAACATAAAACAACCTACCTTCAGAAAACAGAAGAACAATAAAAGGTCAGGGGAAAAAAATGTATTAAAGGGTGCGGAAAGCATTCTAGAACCCCAAACAAACCACACCAGGTCTATTTTTAAATACAGAAAAATCTAATACAATTGATTTGTATTTTCCATGTAATGAACTGAGTAAATTAGCTTTGTTTATAAAGCTCCACATGAAAGGTGTTGAGTCTCTCCTCACCTCATCTAAATGGTGCACGCATCACAGTGATGAGATTTAAGGTAAGTGATCCCTTAATTGGCATCCAGCCTTGAATACTGTGAACAAAGCTAGTGGAGGTGATGGAATTCCAGATGAGCTATTCCAAATCCTGAAAGATAATGCTGTGAAAGTTCTGCCCTCAATATGCCAACAAATTTGGAAAACTCAGCAGTGGCCACAGGACTGGAAAAGGTCAGTTTTCATTCCAATCCCAAAGAAAGGCAATCCCAAAGAATGCTCAAACTACTGCACAACTGCATCATCTCACATGCTAGTAAAGTAATGCTCAAAATTCTCCAAGCCAGGCTTTAGCAATACGTGAACCGTGAACTTCCAGATATTCAAGCTGGTCTTAGAAAAGGCAGAGGAACCAGAGATCAAATTGCTAACATCCACTGGATCATTGAAAAAGCAAGAGAGGTCCAGAAAAACATCTATTTCTGCCTTATTGACTATGCCAAAGCCTTTGACTGTGTGGATCACAATAAACTGTGGAAAATTCTGAGAGAGATAGAAATACCAGACCACCTGACCTGACTCTTGAGAAACCTATATGTGGGTCAGGAAGCAACAATTAGAACTGGACATGGAACAACAGACTGGTTCCAAATAGGAAAAGGAGTACGTCAAGACTGTATATTGTCACCCTGCTTATTTAACTTATATGCAGAGTACATCATGAGAAACGCTGGGCTGGAAGAAGCACATGCTGGAATCAAGATTGCCGGGAGAAATATCAATAACCTCAGATATGCAGATGACACCACCCTTATGGCAGAAAGTAAAGAGGAACTAAAAAGCCTCTTGATGAAAGTGAAGGAGGAGAGTGAAAAAGTTGACTTAAAGCTCAACAGAAAACTAAGATTATGGCATCTGGTCCCATCACTTCATGGGAAATAGATGGGGAAACAGTGGAAACAGTGTCAGACTTTATTTTGGGGGGCTCCAAAATCACTGCAGATGGTGATTGCAGCCATGAAATTAAAAGATGCTTACTCCTTAGAAGGAAAGTTATGACCAACCTAGATAGCATTATAAAAAGCAGAGATATTACTTTGCCAACAAAGGTCTGTCTAGTCAAGGCTATGGTTTTTCCAGTGGTCATGTATGGATGTGAGAGTTGGACGGTGAAGAAAGCTGAGCGCTGAAGACTTGATGCTTCTGAACTGTGGTGTTTGAGAAGACTGTTGAGAGTCCCTTGGACTGCAAGAAGGTCCAACCAGTCCATCCTAAAGGAGATCAGTCCTGAATGTTCATTGGAAGGACTGATGTTGAAGCTGAAACTCCAATACTTTGGCCACCTCACGCGAAGAGTTGACTCATTGGAAAAGACCCTGATGCTGGGAGGGATTGGGGGCAGGAGGAGAAGGGGACGACAGAGGATGAGATGGTTGGATGGCATCGCTGACTCGATGGACATGGGTTTGGATAGACTCTGGGTGTTGGTGATGGACAGGGAGGCCTGGCATGCTGCGATTCATGGGGTTGCAAAGAGTTGGACACGAGTGAGCAACTGAACTGAACTAAACTTGTATATGGAATGGACTTCCCAGGTGGTTCAGTGGTAAAGAATCTGCCTGCCTATGTAGGAGACACAAGGGACCTGGGTCAGGAAGATCCCCTGGAGAAGGAAATGGCAACCCACGCCAGTATTCTTGCCTGGAGAATCCCATAGACACGGGAGCCCGGCCAACTGTAGTCTTTGGAGTTGCAAAGACTCGGACACGACTGAGCAACCGAGCAGCAGCAGCTTGTCTGTGGGGCCAGTAGTGTGAAACCAGCCTTGACCTCTCAGAGGTGAAACCGGGAGTCCTACATGACGGAAAAGACGTGCGAACTGTAGATTATCAGCTTGAGAAGTAAAAGTAATTGACAGTAAGTATCACAAACCTCCCTTCATGGTTTACATTCCATGTTAATAAAATTACCCCGACACAGATTGCTTTGTTTTTGAAATCCTCGTTTGGAATTGTTCTCTGTGCTCTGGGTGCATTTTTATTTTAATTATTTTTAAGGCATATACATTGTATTTTTATTTATTTATTTCTTCCAAAAATTAGAGGACTAGAGACCCAGGAATAGAGACCCAGATGTGGACAACAGACATGTGATCATGGGGTGGGGAAGGGGGTGTGAGGTGAATTGGGAGATTAGAATTGATATATATATATATACACACTACCATCTGTAAAATAGCTAGTGGGAAGCTTCTCTATGGCACAGGGACGTCAGCTTGGTGCTCTGTGATGACCTAGAGGGGTGGGATGGGGGTGAGAGTGAGGTCCACCAGGGAGGAGATACATGTGGATATACAGCTTGTAACTGTTTTAATCTAGTTATAGTACACCTTCGCCTTCCAAATGGGGGAGTTGGTTTTCAAAAGCAGTTAAAACCAATTTCATCAAGTGTAAATAAGGGGTAGGTGGTCAGGCTAGCTTATATGATATTATTTTTAATAAAATATAATTGGTGAATATTTAGCATTGAATCGGATTTTTTTGAGTAGTACAAATACTGCCTACAAAGGCAATTGCAAGTCTTGTTCTAATGACAATTGGACTGAAGAATACTTGTTACATGCATCTCAGACCTACTTAACCCTCTTTGAAAGTTTTTTGTTGATAAAAGGAGATGTTCTAGAATGAAGAGAAGGTGGTGTTGCTGGATTCACCTTCGTTGTTCCACTGCTTCAGTTTCCATGACACTAAGGCAGTTCAGTAACTTAAAGTTGATGGAATGGCTATGAAAATTCATATATCATCTTTTCTCTGAGATTTTATCATGTTTGAAATGAGATTCTGCTCCATAAGAAAGATGATTCCATTTGAAACCTTTAACTCAGGTACAAATGAAAACAATGAATGATTAAGAGATTAAATTCTACTTTTTATCAATAAGAAGGTCTCTCCTTTGCAGAAAAACAGATTACTGAGCTGAGTTCACTTTTCTGCTATGGAGAGAAAAGGAAAGGATTGTCTTCATGGAGAATGGCTGATTTTAATATTAATTTACAGGAGTGAATCCATTTTTTTCTTTAGAATGATGCCTTTTCTATGTAGTTTTGGTTGTATTTTAATATAACATCATAGTCATAAATTTGGTTTTGGATATGGTCTTTTGAGTGGGAGGGAGGATTTTATTTGTCAGATTAAGTCACTTGTGTGTATATGTGTATGTGTGTGTGTTTAAGGAGGGAAAGGAAGAGAGAGAACAATCAGAAAAAACGTAACCTCTTATTTTAGAGGTTACACAAAATCCAATTGACCTTTTTAAAAACATCTAATTGTCATGCACTCAGGTACTTTCCGGGCTCAAACTGGCAGTCAAATATCACAAGAAAGGTTATTCTTGTTATTTCAAAACCTGTTTGAATCAAGAAGTATTGAGTGTCCTTGGGGAGATTCCAATTAAACTCATCATGGTCTTCTCTTTAATTAATTAATTACTTAATGTTTGTCAAGTGTTTTGAGGATGCTAAGTGAAATGTATGTGCATTATTATTTATGAAAAGCAAATAAGTCATTAATGGTTTCTAGTTCCTCCCAGGTATGTTGCTTTATCTGGCTAAGTTTTATGAACCCAAAGAATAGTACATTTTTGTAGTTTTCTAAGATGGACAGTACAAAGTGTCATTTCAATGTAGAGACACATAATAACTAGGTAATATTTTTTCCCTCTCTCTCCATCTAGTCTATGTCCTCTGGTTTTACCAGTGATAAGTTTTCTCTGTAGAATAAAATAGAGGTGGTGCGTAAACGCCTAGTTGTGTTTTACCGTGTGCTTTGCATTATTTAAATAAACTTTAGATTTGTATGAGAACCTTGAATTTCTGCATTAATTTAAAAGGAACTTTTAAAGAAGAGAGGAATAAAGGATTGTTTTCCCATAATAGTCTTCACTGACATTGCTTAATAGAAGAGCTATTTCACTCTATTTTCCATTTTACAGTGTTGGTGATAAGAGGAAATTTCAGTCTGAGCTCAGTGGAATTTTGACCTCACTGTTAACAGAGCTCATGGATATATAACTACAGGAAAATACTGGTTGGGACTTGAAACACACACACACACACACACACACACACACACACACAGCAATGTAGAAAATTAAGGGACTCAGACAGCTAACAACTTAAGTTCTCCCCGATCTGTGTCTCTCATTCATCACTAGATGTTCCAGCGCTGAGACACAGGAATCCAGAACAGTTTGGTAGCAAATTTTGAGACTTGGAGACATGTAATCTTTGTTATTGAACCTACTGTAGCTGCAAATCATGTTTTAAAATATAAAATTGCAGAAGGTTTTGCAACCTTTAAATCTTTCCTTGTCATTTTATGTTTCTGGTGTTAAATTCTGCCGTGTTAATGTCATCTCCACTTGGTAATATTTACAGCACCTAAATCAATGTTGAGGACACGCAAAATATTGGAGGATCAACTCTACTTATTCCAAATACACTTTAATATTTTGACTGCCAGACCAGAGTTCGAGAAATAACTGTAGTAGAATGATAATGAGAAGTTTAACAGTTTTATGATGGTTGAAGCTGACTTTATGAAAGTTGATAAATTTCATCTTGTAGGTTTCAATCTCTCATTCCCTACCGAGAGATGGGGAGAATACATTGATACTGCATTTCAAATTGGCTAGATCAGAAGGAACAGCAGCTAAAATCCATTACAACCCAATTACATCCATCAGCTGAAGCTGTGTGCATTCATTCGTGAACATCAGCATTTAATCCATAAAGAGGAACTAATGAGAAATTTGAAAATGGAATCCACGCATCAGTAAGTTTGGAGAGATTTTTCTGGGATTAATGATCTGCCAGAGAATCTTCAACATGCTGGAAAGCTATTCTCTCTGGGTTTGTTTACTGACCAAGGGGAGAAAAAGAGGTTTCCTTCTGCCTACTCATCAAATACCAGAAAGATTTTACTCGTCTTAGTCCTGGAAAATGGGATGCCGTGTGCTTTGGACGTAAGGTATGTTTTGGTGGACACTGCTGTCTTTGAATGGGAAAAATTAAGTTATCAGGTGGGGAGTTTCCACTTAGATATTAGTGGCAAGAATCCTAAACAAATTCTTCCACCTCTGTAGCCACTCACCAAGCAGTGTCCTTTATGCTTGAATCCTGGGAGCATGTTTAGAGCTGCACATACAAACAACAATTTTGTACTGCAGAAATTTAAGCATAGTTTTATCTTTTTTTACTCTTTGGTGATTGCATAGATAAGAATAAATATTCTACTTGTTGAATTCCAATTACTTAAACAGGAACAAGGCAGTGTATGAATGGTGTAGTATCAACTTATTCACAGTTGCATAACTTCTTACATGTAATTTCTGACTGTAGTAAACATGCGCTTTGCAAAAACTGAACATGGGATGAAGCTTGAGAATTTGGGAGGATTTCTTCCCATCGAGTGAAAATGGTTTCTGTTGGCATAAAACTCAAAGATATTACTATTCTGAGGTTTGTGTGGTGTAGTCATTCAGATGAAAGAAATGTGTGTGTAGAACGTGGAGGATCCCACTTCTAATGATGTCTGGAAGAGGAGTTAGTTTCCATTTTCAAATCATGTTGGACAGTAGGATCTGTTCCTTTGCTTTCTGGACTTCCTGGAGGTTTATCCACGTAGGTGTGCACACCCCACCTCATGATATCAGTGCCTTTCGTGGAGGTTAAAATGATATGAAACTACACAGTCCTTATTTTTACCTCCTCCTGTAAAATTTCAACAAGAAGTTTAACTTATTTTCCATCCTTAGGGAAATATCTACATTGCAAAAGCATATGCAAAAGAGCTTGGTCTTTGTAATTTTGGCAAAGGGGAACCTTGAGGAGTTTTCAGTGGGGGATGATGTCCACATTTCAGAAGGATTACTCTAGCTGCAGCAAAGACTGGATTGGTGTGAAGTAGTGAAATGAAGGTGTGGAGATCACAACGAGGATGAGTTGTAAGCAAAAGAGGATTGCCAGTGGAAATGGTGTTGGGAGAAGAAATGTAATGAAGGATATGTCAGACATAGAACCAGCACAACTTGGTGATTGAAAAGCCTGGTTTTTGTTAGGGCAACTAGGCTGGCGGTGGTGCCATTGTTGAGAGGAACACACGCGTTGGGAGGGGATTAGATGCCTTTCATGTCATTCCTTAATCTTCTTGAGAATCTTTTTAGAATACAGCTCCTGAGATGCGGTGCCTCGGAGTGAGCTCCTACCATCATACTTGCAAGAGACAGGCTGTAGCTCTGAATCAGCTGACCTGAACTTACACCCTGATTCCTGCCTTTCTTACAAGTGGAAAAAGAAATCAAGTGAGAGACTTTTAAATAAGAAATTACATAGTGACTCTCTCTGTGCATATCAAAATATATCCTCAGGCACTTTTAAGAAAATTTTAGATTTTCTTTTAAAAGTCTTTCTGTTCATATGTGTTCAAGGGACCAACTCCACCTAAGAAAGAGGTCAGAGAATTCAGGGCATTTCAAAGCTGGGAGGCGTCAACCTGAGATAGAGAAATTTCTCATTCCTGTGTTCTGGGGATTTCTGTGGTTTCACAAATAGTGTCTAAAAATATCTATTTTAAAAAACCTTCTTAATTACTCTCAATTCTGACCCACATTGACTCAAAAAGGACTAAGAAGCTGAAGGCCAGGTTTGTTTGATGGGAAAGGGGCAGAGAGTAAAGAAAATAAATAGATGAAGAGGGATAAAACAGACACAGATCTGAACTGCATCAATAGATACATTATGGTGTTTTTTAATGTGGTTACAGTTTTCAGGGACATGAAAATCTATAAAAGTGTCAGGATTTACAATATCTAAAAAGGGCCATTTCACAGTCCATTTTAGTGCAACACACTGCTGCAGATTCATGAAATTTGTAACTAAATAAAACTAATGTAAGTAAATTTACACGAAAGGTTGACTAATCCTTGTGTTGTGCTTCTAGTGTTAAGTTGTGCTATTTCTATTTTCTGCCGTCTTTTATTTTCTCATTCCTAAGTTTTTTTCCCCCTCTCTTTCTCTGTTGTATTTATTTAGCAAGGCATTGAGAAAATAGGCAATAGATGTTTCCATAGCCACAAATATGGATGTATCTTCATTAGCAGTTAAACAAGGCAGATTTTTCTGCAGCACCTCAACTGAATCTTAGTGATGCAGCAGGGATACAGAATGTAGGTAGTGGGTTGTCATAAGAGTGGTTAAGGTATATTCTACTAAGTACAAGTAGGCTTAGATTTTCTTTTATCATCTTTTAAATTTTGAACTAATCATGGATTTACAGGAAATTAAAAAGATAACACAGAGGGGTCTCATTACCAAGTTTCCTTCTAATGATTATGCAAATATAGTGTAATAGCAAAACCAGGAATGTCTGTGTATGGTTTTTTGCCATTTTATTACATGTGTAAATTCTTAAAACTGCCATCACGATCAGGATACAGAACAATGTCATCACCATAAACATCTACTGGTGCCATCATTTTAAGTTTGAATGATGTAGGGAAGTCTTACCATTCTTTAAGTTACTTACAGCTTCCTTCAATCTCTGCTTTTATTTGTTTAACTTGCCTTACTGAACTGAGTAGGACCTTTAAAACACTACTGAATAAAAGTGGCAGTGTAAATATCCTTACCTTACTCCCAACCTGAAGGATTCACTTGTTTTCAAAATTGAGTACAATGTTAGCTGCAGCTTTTGCTTTACATGGCACTTTTCATGTTAAGGAAATTTTCTTATCTTCCTAATTGTGTGTGTTTGTTTTGAAGAAGTGTTGAAGTTTGCCCAACATTTTTTTTTTCTTTTTACAGTTTATTGACCTTTTGTTTTTTCAAGAAATAAGAAATATGTGTTAAGGTCTCCAAATTCTCTCATATTAGCAACATTTTGACATGTGCTTAAATACTACTAGATGCACAGATATTTATAAAGTTTATATCTTTACTGTGAAATATATTTTTTTCAGTTAAATCTTTTAAATCCTATTTATTTATTTTTTAAACTTATGTATATAATATACTGTATATTCTACTCTCTTGATCTCTCTTTCTGCCATTCTTTCTTGTTTCCTTTTAATTCAACATTTCTTGTAGACAATATGCATTTTTATTCAGCATGAAAGTTTTTTTCTTTTAATAGATGTTTTAGGTTTAATGCTGAAATTTATGCATGCAATTAATATGCATGATATAATAGATATGATGAAAGAAAGAGAAACTTGGCACTGAAGAAATAGGGAACATGTAGCCTGTTAAGAGCAAATAGGACATATAAAAATAGGTCAAGAATTATGCCTTAAGAGAAATTCCAATTAATTCCTAAAGCAAAAATAATACAGTCCAAAGTCCCTGAATATAATGCCATAAAGTTAAAAGATTGAAAGATATATGCAGGTAAAACCTCAAAAATGTCCTTCTAAATAAATTATGAAATAAAGACAAAGTCTAAACAAAAATTAACAACTATTTTGATGCTAAAGGCTTTAAGAGTAGCACAAATCAAAAGCTTTAGTATCTGTCCAAAGTTGTACTGAGCTGAAAAATCAGAGCATTAAAGTGAATATATTATAGAACAAACATTTAAAATAAATTCTGTATACAAAAGTAAGAAGCTAGGGGAGAAGCAGGGGGACAAAGCAGTGAGGGAAAATAAAGGGAATTAATATAGATAAAACTAAAATAAATGGAAAACAGAAAGTGGAAGTGATCCATAAAATGAAAAATCAACTGTCAAATTATCAATAAAATGGACAAATTTACATAATTTTCACCAAAAAAATACAAACAAATAACAGTAGGAAGGAGAAAATAAATGGCATTCTAAATATTTGTTATTGTTCAGTTGCTAAGTCATGTCTGACTCTTTGTGACCCCATGGACTGCAGCACGCCAGACTTCCCTGTCCTTCACTATGTCCCAGAGTTTGCCCAAACTCATGTTCACTGAGTCAGTGATGCCATCCAACCATCTCATCCTCTGTCACCCTCTTCTCCTTTTGCTTTCAATCTTTCCCAGCATCAGAGTCTTTTCCAGTGAGTTGGTTCTTTGCATTATGTGATCCAAGTATTGGAGCTTCAGCTTCAGCATTAGTCCTTCCTGAGTGAATATCCAGGATTGATTTCCTTTGATTGACTAGTTTGGTATAGATTATGTTAAAAATTAAATACCTTAAAAATTCATTTTTCTAGTGAAAAAAATTACCAAAGTTCACCTAATGAATGATAAAAAGTGTTGCTAGTACATGGGAAAAGTATTGAAAGCTTATCTATCATGACATGGCAATAACAGAATCAGAGTATTTTATCAGTAAGGCTAATTGCACCTCTGAAAAAGAAATAATTTCCTTGTAATTTTTTTTTGATTAAGAGAAAGGAATAGAATCTTTCTTAAAGCATTCTATAGAGGTAATGTAACTCTGATGTCAAAATTGAATAAAACTAGCACATAAAAGAAAATTCATGAATACAGATATGAAAATCATAAATAAACTATTACCAAGTTAATTTCAGGAATGCATTAGCAGACTGCTAATACATTATGCCTGAAAGGTGTATGCTGAGAACACAGAAATATTTTAGATTATGAGACATGTGCATTAATATAATTAGTGCATTAACAAATTAAAGGAGAAAAGTGAATAAACATTTCAATATGGATGATTAAATCACTTGATTCATTATAATATTTGTTAGTGACTTGGAAAAATCCTACCTTAATAAGTTATAGAAAAAACTTTTAAAACATGGTTTTAAAAAAAATCTACCAGAAACCTTAAAAAATATCATAAATAAGAGCAAAGTATTTTAAGTGTGAGAGGTTGAATAACATACCTCCCTCCAAAAAAAGGTCCTCATCTCTGCCACCTGTGAATACATTGCCTTACATGCTTAAAGTGACTCTATGGATGTAGTTGAGTCAAGGATCTTGAGACGGGAAGATGATCTTGGGTTATGTGGGTAATGGGAGTTAAAGAGAGAAGAAGGCAATGTGCTGATGGAAGCAAGAGGTTTGAGTGATGTGAAGAAGGAACGTGGGGCCAGGGAAGGCAGGCAGCCTGCAGAGGCTGGTGGAGGCAATGGGCAAGTTCCCCCTCGGGGCTTCCAGCATGAAGCAGCTCTACCAATACCTTAATTGTGGCCCCCACCCCACTGGAGGCTCAGTGGTAAAGAGTCCGCCTGCAATGCAGGAGACACAAGTTCGATCCCTGGGTCAGGAAGATCCTCTGGAGAATCCTTTCCCGTATTTTTGCCTGGGAAAATCCCATAGACAGAGGATCCTGGTGGGCTGTAGTCCATGGGGTCACAAAGAGTTGGACATGACTGAGCAACTGAACATGGACGCCAGGTTCGTTCAGGACCTCCAGAACTATAAAATAATGCGTTTATGTTTTTTTATGAATGAAGGATTTTAATAGATCATTTGGGCTTTAGTGTATTGCATTTCTTATTTCTATTGACTTTTTTCCTTTGTCTTTTTGAAATTGAAATATAATTGCTTTACAATGTTGTGATAGTTTCTGCTATGCAACAAAGTGAGTCAGCTCTATGTGTGTATACATCTTCTCCCTCGTGGACCTTCCTCTCCCCATCCCACCCATCTAGGTCATCATAAAGTAGTGAGCTAAAAAAAATAATAATAATAATAAAGTAGTGAGCTGAGCTCGCTCTTCTGCAGCTTCCCACTGGCTAGCTATTTACACACGGAAGTGTATGTATGTCTATCCTACCCTCCTGATTCGTCCTACCCTCCCCTTCCACCACTGTGTTCACATGCCTGTTCTTTACGTCTGTGTCTCTATTCCTGCCCTGCAACTAGATTCATCTGTACCATTTTTCTAGATTCCACATGCATGCATTAATATATGATATTTAGGTCACAAAGTTTGTGGTCATTTGTTACAGTAGCACCAAGAAAACTAATACAAAAAAGAATCTGCAGTAGGTCAGAAATAAGGAAAGAATCCCAGTTATTATGCTAATATTGATATTTTTGAAGATAATAGACCATGCAATAAAATGAAAGTAAAAGAATATGTCTCTGTGTGTATATACACATACACAATCATCTATCTATATATCTATATCTATCTATCATCTATCTAGAACAAACTGATTGTTGACCAAAAAACAAATATCATGAAGAATTACTGGGAAAAAAAACCATCAGAAATAGTAAGAGTCCAGGAAAGTAGCCAGATAAAAAAAATCAATATTAAAAAATCAATAACTTTCTTATACAGTAGTAATGACTAATTTAAAATGTAATAGAAAAATGGGTCCCATTTAGAATAGCCACAAAGCTCATTAAATAC